GAAAATAGCTGCTGATAAAAAGAGAAGGGGGAAAAAGTGAGCTGACAGTGGGAGTATAGTCCATTAAGGAAGCAAGGAAATCGGCGAGGGCAGTGTCATCTTCGTGTCTTCCTTCACTCGTTTGCTGACTTTGACTCTGGTTCATTTCAACGGCGGATCAGCGCCGTTCGGAGTTTCAACTTCGACTGAGGTAAAATGGGGGGTGCGAAACCACAGAGGTAAGGAGGTTTTCGAACGCTCGCTTTGTGAAGGAAAATGAAGGAGGAGGAAAATTGAAAAGAAGTTTATTTCTTTTTTTGGTTCCTTTATTTAGCTTAAGGGTAAAATAGATAGAAGTTTTACTTTACCCTATATAATAAGTGAAGGCTTGGGCATTTCAGTAGATATAAACATCTTTATGGCTAAATTCAAAGGTGTCTTTCACACCTGAAAACCAAACACGTGTCTCTCACTACAAGTCCCACTCTTTTACCCGTTTCAATGTTCGCTCACAAATTCACCTTCTTTTCTCCTATATCCAAGTTTCCATCACAAGATTAGATTAGGGAATACTGGATTCTCTTCAAAGTTTATTCAATTTGTAGATTAAGATTTTGCGAAGGTTGTTTATTTCGTCTAATTTGTCTCAAGTTTAGCTCTATGTTGTGGTAAGTTTTTTCTCCAAGTAATCTTTTCTTACTGCAATTATTTGTGGCTAAAATTTTGCCAGATTCTTACATATGTGTCAGTATTTTTATCTGATCTTCCCATGCATGTCTAGAAATTGATACTCCAGTGCGTGATTTGGGTCAATTGTTATTTGATGTCTCTTCTGATTATTTCTCTAATGACGTTTGCTTGAGAAAATTACTGACCAAAATTCTCTAATGGCGTTTTGTCAATGTTCTCTTTTAGTACAAACTAATTACTGCAAAATTAATCTGTTCTAGAGAAAGTTGAAGTATCAAAATCCTTTTTTCTGACCATTGGTATGTGTCAAATTATGATATTTAGGTGACACTTCAAGCCTAGGTTTTTCCCTACAAGGATGAAAAGTTTTTGCTTGACGTAATGTTATTCTTTCATTGGAAATGCACCTTACTAGCTCTAAGCGAGAGCTGTTTGTTCCCCCTTCATTTTCTTCCTTTACCGTTTGGTTTCATTAAATCTGCGGATTTTGGGTTATTGGTTTCCTTCTCTGAGCTTAGTTCTTATCAGTTTTGTTTAAATGGTTCGGAGTCCAATTTCGCTACCGGCGTAACTCTTGAACTGGAGAAAGATTGGTAACCATAACGACTGATTCAACCCCTGATAACAGCTTCGTGTGAAAAAAGAAGACGAAAATTGATGTGCAACAATTAAAGTTTTTTAAGGCATTGCAAAGTGGAGTTGCTATTAGGGAACAATTGGACTATCCAACAGTAAGTGCGAGTTTT